AATCCTCACGCTCCTCAGTCGAGTCCTCGCGGTCGCAACTAGCTTCACCGCGTGCCAGGGGCGGTGGAGCGATCCAAGAAGCAATCGACTATGTGTACCTGAAGAACGTGCTCCTGCAGTTTTTGGAGCAACGAGACAAGAAGTATCAGCAACAACTTATTCCTGTGCTGGGTATGCTGCTGCATTTTGATAAGCAGGATGAGCAGAAGTGGATGGCTGCTGTGAGTGCGAAGTAGTGGTTGTAGTTGGGGTGGTGGTGGTGGGATGCGGCTCTCCGCAGTGAGGGATATGCGAGATGCACGCTTTGAGCGTGACGCGCTGGTCAGGTGTTACAGGGCTGCTAATGGATGGCGCGCGATGTAGGATATGGGACATCTATAGTTTTGCATAGCGGTTTCTTCTTTGAACGTCAGGTTTGGATGCGGATGTATTATATAGTCATGGGATTAGGATGGCTCTTTCCTGCTTTGAAGGTTGGGCTGAGCAACTGCAAACAGCTCTTTCTCGAATAGGCGCTTTCAACGCGAAACATCAGTGTTAGCTGCTCAATAGGACGGTACTGATGACGCATCCTAGGTGCGGTATTAAATGTTATTTGGAAGGTACAGATGATGTGGTATGATGTGTCCAGGGTCCTCAGGTGCAGTCGGTATGCTGATGTTGACATCCCACGTGTGCTGCAGATCGGGTCGCAACAACAAGCATTCCTAGCAGCTGGCAGCTTCTACTGCTACCGGCCCGGTATGTCTAGGCAAGGTGCTCGGTGCGCTAATTAACAAGACGCAAGGCTTTGGGCAAAACTGGCTTCCAAGGTTGCGTGGACGAACTAATGTGGTAGCAGGCGACTATTTGTAGGCGTCGACTGATGTCATAATTCGTCTGGCCTGCTTCCTTACCGCTTCCTCCGGCTTTGACGCGCTCCAGCTATCCGTCACCATCTCTATCATCATCCCAAGTCGCATCGAATTCTCCGAGAAGCGAGTCGGACTTGACTAATCACGCATCTCTCCCAGCGAGTCATCTCCCGTGGTTGTCGCAGCATCGCGCACCCGTGCAAACCCCCACCAGAGCACCAATCAGAGCCCCGACATCGATAGGCTGGCGAGGGGAGCGCTAAGCCCGTGTCCAGCAATTGAAGAAATCGCGAGGCAGTGCGACAGAAGAGCCACACTGCCCTCGCTATACACCTGCAAGCCCATACCAAGTAGTCTGCGTCTGCCCATGAGCGCTGCCCAACGCGTCCGGAGCGCCTAACCGCACACGCACATCCCAGCAGCCCTCGAGCCTCAGTCCCGCCCACAGCCCAGCGCGTGGCGGGGAAAGCCACCATGAATGGCACCGACATGAAGAAGGCGGCCATCAACAAGGCCAAGCAGGTCGCGCAGGCTGCCAACAGCAACGGCGGCAAGAAGCGACGGAAGGGCCAGGACCTCAAGCCCATCATCACCACGGAGAACCAGGGCAACCAGAACGCCTCGCCCGCTGGCTCGACGGGCTCCTTTCAGTACAAGTACGTTCACCACCACCACCACCCGCAACCACTACCCTCCACCACCGCTTGCAGCCTTACCCTTCCCGCCCGCCCAGCCTGCGCCCCCCTCTTTCACTTATTTTAATGCGCCCGACATGCCCTGACTGCCGCAACCTTATACTGACCTCAACCCCGCAGTGTGCAGAACGCCAACTCGCCGCTCGCCCAGCACAAGATGTACGGAAACCAATTAAGCCACTCGCCCGACTCGTCGTCGTCGTCGGTCGATGAGGCCGAGAACACAGCCGACGAGGAGGACTCGGAGGACTACTGCAAGGGCGGCTACCACCCGGTGCAGGTCGGCGAGGAGTACAAGGACGGCAAGTACACGATTGTGCGCAAGCTTGGGTGGGGCCATTTCTCGACCGTCTGGCTGTCGAGGGATAACACCAGCGGCAAGCACGTCGCCCTCAAGGTCGTGCGCTCCGCCGCGCACTACACAGAGACCGCCCTCGACGAGATTAAGCTCCTCAAGAAGGTGGTCGACGCGAACGAGAACCACCCCGGCCGGAAACATGTCGTCAGCCTCCTCGATTCCTTCAACCACAAGGGCCCGAACGGCGTCCACGTCTGCATGGTGTTTGAGGTGCTAGGAGAGAATCTACTGGGCCTGATCAAGAGGTGGAACCACCGCGGTATACCAATGCCGCTGGTCAAGCAGATTACAAAGCAGGTCTTGCTGGGCCTCGACTACCTCCATCGCGAATGCGGCATCATCCACACCGACCTGAAGCCTGAGAATGTCCTCATCGAAATCGGCGACGTCGAGCAGATCGTAAAAACATACGTAAAAGACGAACCGAAGAAGAAGGATAGCGAAGACAGCGTTAGAAACGGCAGGCGGAGACGGAGGACCCTCATCACAGGCAGCCAGCCGCTCCCCAGCCCGCTCAACGCGAGCTTCAACCACGCCGAGCTCTCCAGCTTTCCCGGCAACACACAAAGTCTCAACAAGGTTATGAGCGAGGGTACAGGTAAAGACTCCCCCACGACTATCCCGAGTCCTCCTTCTTCGTCAGACGGTGTCGTAATGAGTGGTGCTCTAGCAACTCCATCTGCCGGCCCCAGCCTGTCAATGGCAGAACGGCTCGGAATAAAGTCGAGCGACGACGACGCGCAAAAGCAACGAGAAAAGTCCGCGTAAGTTATCTCATGTCCATGTTCGAGTGTATACTAATCTTGTTAGTGATCTCCTTACTAAGGAGGTATCGGGTATCAGCCTCGATAAACCCAGCAGCTCGTCCGGCAAAACCGAGCTCGAGCAGCAAGTCGAAAACGCCTTCGAAACCATATCAGTCAAGATTGCGGATCTTGGAAACGCCTGCTGGGTTGGACACCACTTTACCAACGACATCCAGACCAGGCAATATAGGTCACCGGAAGTCATTCTGGGTAGTAAATGGGGTGCCAGCACCGATGTCTGGAGTATGGCCGCGATGGTAAGACCACGATCAAGTCTGAAGAGCATGAACTAACAGTGGTAGACATTCGAATTAATCACCGGCGACTACCTCTTCGACCCACAATCCGGCACCAAGTACGGCAAAGACGACGACCACATCGCACAAATCATCGAGCTACTAGGCACCTTCCCGAAGGGCCTCTGCATGTCGGGAAAATGGTCACAGGAGATATTCAACCGCAAAGGCGAGCTGCGTAACATTCACCGATTACGACACTGGGCCCTTCCCGACGTCCTCCACGAGAAATATCATTTCAGCTCAGAGGAGAGTAAGAAGATTGCCGATTTCCTGTTACCCATGTTGGAACTACTACCCGTCGACCGCGCCAACGCGGGCGGAATGGCAGGACACGAATTCTTGAAAGACACAAAAGGCATGGAGGGTGTGGATTTGAATATCCCCGTTGGTAGCAAGGGCGAGGGGATCGAGGGGTGGGCGACGGAAATCAAGAAGACGCGGTAGAACGCGGTGAGGAAGGTGCTGAGTGCTGCGTATCTATAGAGGGTTGTGCGTGGAATGGTGGAAACGGAGGGAATGGAACTGCACTGGTTAGCCTGTTTTTGCTGAGCAATGGAACAGTACTCTGCGCTCGTTACGGTTGGCGGGTGATGTGTTGTTGTTGGAAATGGGATACCGCGATAGAAGCATTACGATTATGACTCAATTGTATAGTGCGCTTTTAAGTGCAATATTCGCAATCTGGCTGTCCAGACGTAGATGTGCGCTTTTGCCTGAAGAGATGCTCTACAGATGGTGGTTGTGCGAACTTGTGATGCGGATTAAATTTGTCTGAGATGTGCCGGTGCATCGCTTCGGATATGTACAAACATAGGCGCTGTTCTCGAACACAGCCATATCGGCTCAAGACGTGAAGTCGACCGGCCTGGACTCGACTGCGACTGTTCTATCTCGTGTTCGGCTCTCGCTCTTATTCTTGTCCGGCCCTTTCGTGTCTCGCCGACGCCGTTCTATGGATAGGAATCGAAAGGCGAGATGCGGTGCGATGCTGATGAGTGAGTTGACCCGAGCGTGGTAGTTGTGAAAGAAAGAGTGCGCAAGAGGAGCTCCTGCGTGTCAAGCTTGTACAACCGTGTCTACTGCCAACATTACTTCCGCGCTGGTTGTAAGAGTGGTAGCTCGTTGTCTCGGCAGGACGAAGCGTATGCGACCTCATCGTGTCACCACAACCATCAATGCAACACCGTACATTCCACGCACTTCTTATGTACAAAGATCGTACCTTTCGCACAAACCCACCTCGGTAAAGCGAAGACCCACACACACGACCCGTATGTACGAGGAAACATGGAGGATGTGCAACACGCCACCACTCACAACTCACGCATTGCCGTCGGTACCTGGGCACAAGCAATGTCCAAAAGCTTCTATATCCAGTGAAGCGACTGATAAATCGAATTTGAGTTGGAAAGCTAGATGCTTACTATCGTGTTCGCGTAGCTATACTTAGCAAGCACCACACCAGCCACACTCCCAGCTCGCATATATTGAGTTTCGGGATCGCCAAGTGGGTCGAGCGTCGTCATTAACCCACGCGGCTTTAACCACGGGCCGAGAGTTGGTACCTGTAATTCGCGTACCCTCCTGACCCTCTCGTTCCCGCCGCAGCTGTTTTGCTATCGCTGCTTGGTCCTGGCACCCGTATCTTTGGGTACAGGGAGTGATCTGGGAGCTGACGATGGTAATTCAAGGGATCCACCTTTGATTGGGGCTGTGGAGAGTTGGTGTAGTTTGGTGAGCCCCTGGGTTGCGGCGACGAGGGAGGTGCGTGCCACGCGGAGGGTTGAGCATGGCAAGCTTTGTAGATTGTGATTAAAGTAGGTGGGTACGCGGGTTCTTCTGGTGCTTATCTTCAGCCTCTTGCTTCAAGGCTTGTTTCTCTTCTTCGTCGAGTTCACTGTCGCTGTCTCTGTCCCTTCTTCATCTTAATTCCAAGTCATTCGTTCACACCATCGACAGAAGATTGACTAATTTCTACATCTTCCATAATGCATATCCCCAACGTCTCCTTACTCCCCCTCTCCCTCATCCTCTTCTCAGCTACTCAAACTCTCGCCCAAACATCCACAGACTGCGACCCAACCAAGAAATCCTGCCCAGCAGACACCGCACTCTCCGAGTCAGTCTACACCCACGACTTCACCACCGGCGCCGACGATGAGAACTGGAAGGTCACTGCTGGCGATGTGAAGTACACGTCGAAAGGAGCGGAGTTCACCATCAACAAAGCCGGCGATGCACCCACTATCCAATCGAACTGGTACATCTTCTTCGGCAGCGTGAGCTTCGTCATGAAAGCTGCACCCGGCAAGGGCGTAGTGAGCAGTGCCATTCTGGAGAGTGATGATCTAGATGAGGTGGATTGGGAGTGGCTGGGTGGACAACCCGGGAATGTGCAGAGTAAGTATTCCACCACTCCTCCTATCCTTACACATTCGTGCCCTCCAAAGAATCCCCCACTAACACACCCCCAGCAAACTACTTCGGCAAAGGCAACACCACAACCCACGACCGCGAAGTCGACGCCCCAATCCCCGACACCCAATCCACCTCCCACAACTACACCATCGCCTGGACCTCCACCTCCACAACCTGGCTCGTCGACGGCACCCCCAAACGCACACTCTCTTACTCCGACGCAAACGGCGGCTCAAACTACCCGCAAACCCCCATGAACGTCCGTATCGGCATCTGGGCCGGCGGCGACCCCAACAACGCGCCAGGCACCATCGAGTGGGCCGGCGGCGAAACGGATTACAGCGCTGCGCCTTTTACGATGGTGGTGGAGAAGGTGGAGGTGCGGAATCAGAATCCGGGGGAGAGTTATATGTATGGGGATATGAGTGGGGGGTTTGAGAGTATTGTTGTTGATGGCGGGGATGGGAAAGTGAAGAAGAGTGGGAGTGAGGATGGTGGGGAGAAGAGTTCGAGTGCGAGTAGTTCGGGGTTGAAGACGGAGGCTAGTCCGAGCGCGAGCGCGAGTGCGACGGTTAATGTTAATGTGGATGGGGGTGTGGGTGGTGAGCATGCTATGGAGACGGGGAATGTTACTGGCAGTGCGAGTATGGCTAGTGTGACGCCGACGGGAAGTGCGACGGGCAGTGCGGCTGTAGCCGAGCAGACTGGTGAGTCTGGTGCTGTGTCGGGCAAGAGCTTAGGTGGAGGGCTCTTGGTGCTCAGCGCCATTACTGCGATGCTCTGGATTTAGAGGTTAGCTATAATTACTTGATTCATCAATCCTTTGGATAATGATCGTGCTTTCGCGTCTAGACTTTTGCATGTCGTTCAGTGTTTGTATATCTGTATTGGAAGCCTAGACGCTGAGCCAAGTATCTACCCTCCACGCGAAGCTAGAAGTGTCGATGATCTCTTCCAAGATGCAACCTAATCCACCTCCGACTCGTACCTAGAGCCATATGAAGAGTTGCCCGATCGTTCCTGCACCACTTGCCAATACATCGAGTATGGAAACTCGGTACGCAGCTGAACGGGAATCAAGTCTTCCAACGGGGTTTCGAAGCTAGGTTCATCCACTTTCCGGTATCCTGGGAACTTAACCCTCATACTCTTCTGCAACGCTGCAGCACCCTTGAGAGCCGAATCTCCCTCTTTCTCAATCATCTTGCGGAGCATTATACCTACCACCGGAAAGATACACGGGTGGTGTGGTTGATTCTTCTTCCAGTTGTACAGCATACAGGGGATAGCGATGGTCAACCATGAATCTCCTTGGAAAATGAATGCTGGATAGTCGACCGGTGCGACCTTCCGAGCGTACTTATGGATCTGCAGCAGTACCTGGGTGCATCGCATATGCAGCTGCAACACATCGAATGTGAGAGCCGTCTCATCTTTGCTAACCACCTCCTTGAAGATACGTAGCTTTTCCAGAGAAGACGGCGGCTTGTGCGGATTTTGAGACTTCTTCTGAGCGTCTCCAATCAGCAACTCTAGTTTGACAAGCGTGTCTTTCCTTGGTTCGTCATCATGTACGGGCCCCTTCTGTCTTTGTTGACGCCATTTCTCCAAGGTCTTGCCTTTCTGATGCGTCTTATCGCGTGGCATTCTGTCAACGGACGACTCGAGATACTGGAAATGATAACTAAGGCGACGTGTTCCACTGACGCGGGAAGCATAGGTTGAGCTGCTGCCTACGGTGCGAGGCCTGTAACCTTTGGTGAAATCGTGGACCACATTTCCCATGATCAGCAGGACGCGTTTTCCGAATTCAGGGTCTTGTTGTGGTTTCTTGCCCATAAAGATCCAGTCGCTACCTTGTTGCTCGATCAAATGTGCCATATCTGCCCATCGCAGGTCTTCAGGTAAATGTCCGGCACACTGAGCAGCGTTGTACAGGTGAGCCATCACAATGATTTGACCATCATTTGAGGTTAACTCGATGGCTACTTCGTGATACTCTTTGCACAGGGTGGCCAGGAGTACGCCACAGAACGCGGGATCGCACCTCAATAGTGAGAACCCAGGTATCTTCCGGAATTTCAGCGATAATTGTTCTTCATCAATGTCGAACCCCATCTGGGCCTTTTTATTGACAATGAAGGCTTCGGCAAACTCTTTGCGATCGATAACGCTTTCACGAGCGAGTGTATAGGCGTCATCCAATTCCTCAAACCCCTTGACGTCGAGGTAAGCTTGGTATCCTGTGATGATCTGCTGTCCGGTCTTGTAGAGAAGCTCTTCACCAACGGACAAATGAGGCTCCAGCTCTCTTTGCATATCCCAGAAGATTTGCAACGAGAAAAAATCCAGCTTTGCAGGCGGCCCTCGCGAAGCATGGCGAATGCAGCCTTTCGCACCATGTATTCATCCTTGAAACGGGGTTCTATCGTAGGCGATGTTGCAAGCTGTGAAACACACTTGAGGAATCTCTTTTCATCGTCGGAATATCGAAATTCTTCGTTCTTCGTTATAGGAGTGAATGTGAAGAGGAGCAACTCTGTGACATGCTTGCATACGACAGTGTTGAAGCTCAATGATTGCTTTTCCTGTTTGTAGGCGAAAGGCTCCCCATGATCATTGGTTGCATTGACGAATGGCGAACCTGGTTCAACCTTGGAGCGGCTGCGCTGTAAGAAGCCGATGAGTTCGCTATGCACGAGATGACCATTCGAACCCTTGAATCGAGGGTTGGCTTCCTCGAAATCGTTGCTCAACTTCTCTATCATTGCCAAAGCGACGTTCATGGTTAGCGCGGCGGCCTGGAGACCGATGTCGCCGTTCGCAAACTCGCGCCAGGTGCGTCTGACTGCAATCCTGAGATCTGTAACGTCTTTCAGAAAGCAGTAGATGGCGAAGGTAACGTCAGTTTCAGACTCTTCGAGTTTGTAGGTCACCTTCGACTTGACGGGTGTGGCGTGGACCTCGATAATCTCGGGCATATCGTCGGACTCTGGAAGAGCCTCATTCTCTAATAGCTCGTATTTGTTGTTCGTGCGTATAGTTTCCGCCTTCGTGGTCTTGGACTGTCGACGTTCGACTGGTGGCTTCTTGGCGGCCTTAAGGATTTCGAGGACATCCTCCAAAGTCTTGATGAAGTGTTGATGGCCTTCGTTGTTCTCCTTGACGGCGTTGTCTGCACAATCGGAAGTGCTTGCGTACCACACTGCACAATCCTTGCGACCTCGAATGACAGCCTGTAAGGTTCCGAGGACCGAGGTTGGAACAGGTATACGCGCATCGTTGGCGATGGCTGTCGCAAGAGTGACGAACGATCTAGCGGTGATGTGGTACGTAGCTGGGGCGTTCTTTGCGTCTTTCTGAGCGGACCCTTTCAATCTACCTCCCGTATGCGGTTTTCCATGTTGTTGAATATCGCTGAACACCTCGTTGACGGTACCAGTTGCGCGGGCCGTCTCAGCTAGCCATTGAACGAGATCTTCGGTTCCTCTCTTGTACTTCTGATACGCATCGAATAGTAAGGGCGTGAGCGCCATTATTGGTAACGGGGACTGTGTGAGGGATATGACAACGTGTAGTAGTCGCGTCGCAAGTCAGATGTAGTCAAATACCTGGAGGCGGGGGATAGCCAAGCTGATGTGGTAAACCGAAGTCGTCCGTGCGCACTCGCAATGAAGGAGGGCTTCAGAACAGGGGAATTGCTGTTGCGTGGGCAACGGGGATCAAGCATGACCAAGGGGGTACTGTACAAGACACGGTGACGGGGCCGCGCTGCATACCTGCGAGTAAAACTAGACCAACACATCGACAGATACATGTGATGAGCATCTAGTGCCACTGTGCTCTTTCCACATCCTTGCTCCATCCATGGCAAGAGAACCAAACAAAGTAAATTCGATGAGTCCAAAGTTTCGAGAAGCACATTTTCTGTGATGCCGATGCCCGCTGCAGGAGGTAGTTACACAAAGACCTCGTTGGAGTGCGATGCTTTAGGCGATGCGACGATATGGGACGACATGACGTGAACAGGATATTGTTGGACAATCACTAAAGACTGACGGCAATGGGAACTTTACCATGTTTGTCAGAGGCTACTACGATGCGAGCATATCTTCTCGAGCACCTCCTTGAATAGGGGCGAAACCGTCCGCATCCAGGTATGCAACCTTTTGCTACACTTCATTAGCTTGAAGTCATAGAGTGATGAATTTTGATCAGAGCTGAATCGTTCGGCTTAGCCATCTGCCTGCAAGTCGGCATACGATGGCCAAAAGCTGCGGTTACGGTGCCGGTACCAGGTTTGCATTTCGTGTGAAATGAAGCGCGTGAAGTGTCGTTTGTGAGAAGTGCGGTCGTCTAGGCCATGGAGGGTTGTCTACCCCGAGGTCTTCCGGTGGCGAACGTGTCAACGCACGGTCCCGGCGATGTGGGGCTCCGGCTCGCAGGTTGCAGCCTGCCTTCGCTCATTGCGACCATGAACATGGCTGTCGCTGTCTCGCGCTATCTTTGCAACCGACGGAATAATCCCAACTGCTCGCCTTGGATATAAATGTCACTTCCGCACACTACAGACTATCCGCTACTACACCACGCCTCAAAATTCGTAGGTCTACAGACATTTTGAAAGCCCGCTTAGCATGCTCTCTTATACCACTGTCTAGCTAGATCATCATAACCACGAAGCGTATAGGATTCTTCTCGTTTTGATTGGCACTTTAGAAGTGTGTAGCGAACCAACCCGACCCGATTCCAGGCTCCAGTCTGGATCAAAGGCGCATCTTCTTCGTTCGCTGAAATCTCAGGCGCTCTTTTGGAATTCGGGCGTAAGCAGTATGCCCGAGTCGAAAATGAGCTTGCAGGCCTTCTGCCTAGCACTGCCCCGCTCGGTTTGCACATGCACCGCCTCTATAAGCTACTTGCAAATATCTGTCTTCAGTCGTGCTCTGCGGTTGCCCCGAACCTCCCGAACTTCTGCAATACCAGATCCACATTTCCGCTACCATCTCTCTTTGCGCGGAACTTCATACGAACCAGCAGCCACCCGAAAATTTGGGGTTCGAACTTCGGCATACGCATGTCTCGCTCCTTCCAGTACCAGCCTTTGGACCGACAGACTTCCTCGATCAGACTCATACGGCTCCTAAGCGAAGATTCCGCAGACGGACACATTCAATGCAAGATTGAACGCGCTACTACAGAAGCCTCATACACTTGCCTCTCATACGTATGGGGCGATGAGGGCGAACGCTATACTATTCTCATGGACGGTAAACCGTTCAAAGTGCGTCACAACCTACATCGATTTCTTGCACAAGCAAGACGGACCAAGCATCTACCAATTGCACGTATCTGGATCGACGCTCTCTGCATCAACCAGAACGACTCTTTAGAAAGAAATCATCAGGTGCAGCAAATGGGTGTGATTTTTAGCCGAGCGAAGGATGTGGTGTCATGGCTGGGAGATGACGTCAATATCTCCAAATTCTTGGATCACCTGCGGCTACGTACTATGAGCGAAGACTACGCACAAGTTAAGGAGACCCCGGATTTCATACAACCTGGATTTGCTGAGTCTGGGTCAGGCTTTTACCATCTTTGCGTTGCTGAATACTGGGATCGGGCATGGATTACGCAAGAGCTTGTGCTTGCACGGCAGATAACGCTCATGGCCGCTGACATCGAACTGGACGCTTCATTCTTCCCAGAACTTTCAGATTGGGGAGAGGGCTACCTTGCACGACTAGAGCCACTCCGCCAATCTGTTCCTATCAACTGGAAGGGTAGAAGTCTCATCTATCTGATGCATAGATTTATGCTCAAGGAGGCACACATCTGCCGAGATCGTGTCTATTCACTACTTGCGCTTTGCGGCGAAGGGAAAGATCTACAGGTCGACTACAAATCTACGGATCTCACAGTGGCAAAAGATATCGTAAGATCTTGCGAGAAGTCTTTCTGCTTGTGTGCCATCAATATGATTGCTTTCATCCTACAACTGAAGTCTCCGGATCTGAGCGATGTAACTCAGGATGATAGGCTCGATTCGTTCGCAACGATGACGCTGCCTATAGTTTCGCAGGATTTTCTCGACGCCTCGTGCACACGCGAATCATGTCGAACTGGCGACACAGGTTGCAACGGTACACAGCAATCCCATTTACCAGGTTGCGTGGTAATATCGCCTTCTCATAAGCTGCTGTCGATACATCTCTTTCTGGGCAAGATCTGTGGGCAATACGAAGCTACTGTTGTCAGGCTTGATGAGGTGGCTCACGTTCCCGGTTTCGTTGCCCAATGGCGTGGATTATCAGACGTGATAAATTACTCATATCAACCCACAAGATTTACCGTACGACCTTACGACTGCTCCTTGCGATTGAGGGATGACAAAGAGAGCTACAAAGTGAAATTTTCTTTCGAGCTCCTTGTCAAACTCGCCGTAATTGATCGACAGTGGAACAACGGGCTGTGTGCCCGTGTATCTAATGTAAGGACAAAATCGGCATCGCCCCACGACAATACTGCGTTGCGGATGCTTTCTTGAGATCTTCCACATCACGACCATGGTGTCACACGTGGCGAGAGTTTGCGAACCCTCACAGGTTCTGCGTTTCGGCTGTGGTGCAAGATCAAGGCAAAACGACTGGCTGCTTGAAAAATGGCTCTAAGATGCTGATATGTGCATTTATTAGAGGGCCGTTTCTACTTCCACGCGAAGGAATTCATATCGTTCAATCATGCCCCTTCTTCTAACTCAACATTGACATCAACTCCATGCTTTTCGAGCAACAGTAGCATAGACTCCAGCCCATCCTTTTTCGCTCGCCGCACGCACTCTTCTGCAGTCCCAGGAGAATGCAGATCCGCTCCTCGTTCGAGAAGAAACTCAAACAGTGCTGTATGTTCTGCGGCGATCGCTCCGGCGAGAGGGCTGTCCTTGCCAATGCTTTCGTTGACGTCTATGCCAGCGTCAAGAAGGAGTCGCACTACGTCCAGATAAGGTCCTCTTTCCACATCCGCTAAGAGCTTGGTGGGTACTACTGTGCGGCTTTCGTTTATGCCCACCTCGACAACCGCATCGCTGATGTTGACCCCGCGAGCTAAGAGCAGTTTCAAAACTTTGTGTTGGCCATAGCGAGCAGCGCTCGCAAGAGCTTGATTCGGGTCGGCCCCATCGTCTAGTAGAAGCTCGACGATAGGTACGTAGCCACGATCGATGGCGTGCTTGACTCCCTCATTTCGCAGTTTACATGAGACCTCGTAGTCCGATATGAAAGACATGCAGACTGAGTGCCGATTCCGATCTTCATTGGTATGTGCGGCGACTCGGATTAGATGCGAAACCATATCCATCCTGCCAAGTGCTGCGCAATGACGGATCCTGCCGTAAAGCTGTTTCCTACCGGTCGGATACATGCCATGAGCAATGCGCAAGGCCTCAATGAAGTCCCATATCTGAGGATCTCGAACGCTTGCGCGGATGTCGTACAGTGGGCCTTTGCCCCAAGTTGTGGAGCTTTCAAAATGCCACGGCCAGTCCTCGCTGCGGAAGTTGTATAGGAATCGAACAATGTCTATCCGAAATCCTTTTGCTGCAGACTGGAAAAGTTGGAATCTTAACCCTGGGCCGAGATCGGATGCTTCGCTCGTCATGAGATACTCTAGAAGTTCCTCGTTGCCAAACCTTGCGGCCAGCTCAACATAATCTCCAAATACACACCTGTTATCAGGGCTTTTAGGGTTTGATAACATGGCATCTCGTAGTTTTGTGGACTGCCGGATGTAAGATAGCGTATTGGTGCAAAGCGCGGCACCAAAAAGCTGTTTTTCGGTTTCGACAGAGTCCCACTTGAGCGAGCGGCGAAAAGCATCCCTCAAACGCTCCTTATTCGACCTGCTTGCCCATGCCTCCACTGGGAAAAGGGTGTGAACTACGTTCGCGATGACACTATCATCGACCTTATGGCTGTGGTTCAGAGCTGATATCTGAACGGCTATGCTTCGCACGTCATTTAGGAACCGATTGCAATTCAGAGGCTCATGCATGACTCGATACTCCAGATAGGACTGATAGAAGTGTATCACCCCCCACGAATAGCAACGGCCGAACATGATCCCATCGAGTAGCCGGAAGGTACGGAATGCGCGCATCACTTCTTGCGCGAAGTAATCTACCGGTCGTCAGCTTTGGAGCTTGACACAGGATAGTGCTCCATACGGTTTATGAGTCTCAGACGCAGACCTCTTTTCGTTCCCCGAGCAAGGATGGCATAGTGTAAGATTGCCTCGAAGAGCTCCCTAGGCAGATCAAGGAGCTTCATCGCGCTCTAATAGCTGTCCCTCCTCTGGTAAGTCTGCGAAGGATGGCCGTGTGATGAAGATGCGGTCACTTTGGAAGCAGATTACGGTGTCCAGCTGATTGGCGTCCCTCGTGATAAGGAAGAGGCGTGGCGGGGCGCTCTGCGGTATTCGCCAATGCGGCACGGAACCTTGAATGGGTGTACGGCACAGATGGGGCCAACGGTTGTAAGTCTCG